GCCCGAAGAAACATTAGTAGTTCGAAATTGGCGGGTAGCATGGACGTACGCTGTGGAGTTAATACCAGCTTGCATTGCGAGAAAAGTCTCTCGCACGTGTTTGATGTCGGTGGAAGGTGCTTTAAGAGAGAATTGTAGATAGCACCTTTGTCCTGCTTGGACCGCTTGCCTGGCCCAGCACGAAGGATCTGAGTCGCGTAGTCTTCGGCACGAATCTTCCTCTTGTTGCCACAAACTGGCACTTCAAACCGCTTGACTGCTTGCGACTCTGCGTTGGAAAGATTGACGCCGTTGATGACCTTGACGACAGCCGACTCGAACACAGGAGAATGTACGATGTTAGCGTCTGCCTTCAGGTGACCACGCATGCATGGGTACTCAGCGACCACAGAGTCAAAGAGAAGGCGCACGTCCGCCAAGTCAATACCTTCAGTCTGCAGCTTCTTCGTCACGCTTTGAAACTTCTTCATGTGCTCAAGAAGAGCGACCAGCTTCCGATGTGACGCACCGGTCGGGATCAGCTCCTCCACGGCGTCCACTGTCTTGATCTGAGGGCGAATTCGAATGTAGCGCTGAAGCATCTCAAAACTGGAACTCCATCTCGTCATATTCCGTTTGATGGGATGGAGGCTGGTCACTTTTGAAAGTTCGGCGAAGTTATTAACTTGACATAACTTTGACATCAGCGTGTTAACTTGCGCTAGTAACGGTTCGTAATCAGCGAGATACTTGTTAACCGCCAAGTTAAACCGGTGACTGGCACAACCGACAAGCGGAACACCAAGCTTGGTGGCGATCGACTGGTTGGTGCTGCAGTTATCGCCAACAATAAACGTCACTATGTCGAGCGTCTTGTTGTAGACATCCAACACACCGTCAAAGAGCTTGATGTGCACATCTGCATCCTGCGATCCGTCATCAAAGGGAGACACTGCGAGCAGCTGCAGACGCAGATCCCCATCTGTATCAAAAGCACCATAAACGGCGATGTAGTGCATGGAGCCACTCGACCATCCATCGAACATTATTCCAAAACAGCTGCCCAGCATCGACTCGATCGTCTTGCCAACTTTCTTGGCCACGTCGTGCATTGCGTTGAGAAGAACGCGCGAAGAAATGGATGTCCATTTCGACATCGATCGTGTCAGCTCGTTGTCAACTTCTGAGAGCGGCATATTGCGCTCGATGACCCACTGCATCCACTGGAAACGATGTGTCGTCTCTTCGGAGACAAACCCAAAGTCCTGGAGACTTTTAGATGTTGTAGAAAGGGAGGCTGCATGCTGAGTCTTGAAACCGGGGTGCTTGTGAGCGAGGTGAGCGATCAGGTTCGAGTAGCCAGTATTGGCAAGTTGCTTTCTCTCGTTACCGCACTGCTTGCAGCGATAACGGCCTTGATCGAGGGCCTCGTAGAAGTACGCGCAGATGTCCTTGTTGTTTGTCAGCATGTTTGAGGCGGGAGGTTACTTTGAAAAGTGAGCGAGCGAGGTACAAGAGGCTTCTCGACCTCACCTACTACTGTAACCAGTCGTTTTAACATCAACAAGTAAGTATGGCGTATAGATTCGACAAGATATGGTGGTGAGCGAAGCTCTGTTGTCCACCAATTCGAGTTTTGACCTGGAATTTGTATGAGCTTACTTTTGTACATTATATTGTGAAAATTGGTCCAATATGATATTATATTTTTGGCGAAAGTTGAAATAATCCGCTTTTTTATTGTGAAAAACTGATTTTAGTCGTACGGAAATTTTTTATTCAGACCCCTGGTTCCGACCATCTACAGCGATCCTATTAAAATCGGTCTCGCAAGAACGACTGAACCTGCTTGTCTGCAGTACTCGCAATTACTACTATGGTCAGAAATACTCGAAGCCCTATGGTCCGGGGATTTGGGTGAGCACTTTGACGCACACTTGCCAGACCATGTCGACGCTGCTGTTGCAGTGTTCATGGAGATTGACGATTCAAAAGATTAAGATGATGAGAGGACCACAACGGAGAACCCAAACGTAGCGGATGGGAGGAAATCCACTTCCTCTCTCTAGTTTAGAATAATATCGACTCGCGACCTCTTAGCCGGCACGCAGTTGTAGCTTGCTGGCGTGTAATGTACAGCTCTACTATTTGTTTGTAACAGTTCTGCACGCCCGCGTTCGTAGCTAACGGGTGTGTGCAAGGTGCAGCTGACTGCTGCACTGATCGATTATTACTATGGTTACTACAGCAAAAGTCCACTTTGGTAGAATTTCGACTCGCGACCACTCCACTTAGCCGGCACGCGGTTGTATCGTGCTGGGGTGATGTGATCACTTCTACGTCACGTTAGTGAGTGTTCTGCACACCCGCGTTTTTGGTCAACGTGGGTGTGCAAGGTGCAGCTGGATGCTTCACTGACCTATTTTCACTATGGCGAAGGCCCCTCCTACTCTCGTACTCAACTTCGACAATTACCTCCGCTGACTAATTGTGGCAAAGATCGACGCTCTATTAGTGAAATATTACATTTGTGAACTACAGCTGGATACAAACGGAAAAGTCCAAACCTGTTGACGCGAGGTGTTTACAATATTTTCGAGCAGCTGGATTATCTACGACTATTATCTCTCTACATCTGATTCCTTCTACACGATGGATTTCATATTCTGTTCTAAATGTTAGCCTAAAAGGTTTAATAGTATAATGAAAAATATCAAACAAATCATTTTATCCTTGTCTTAGAGGACAGTCTGTGGTAACTTTTTTACATGCACTTGAAGACAGATAATTTTATCCTTGTCTTAGAGGAGAGTCTGTGGTACTGACCTCTAAGACAAGGATAAAATGATCTGTCTTCAAGTGCATGTTAAACAGTTTTTTATTTGGCTTAGGCGAATTCAGCGAAGCTCTCAGCGGATTCAGATGTCTCAAATTCACCCGAGAGCTAAGTAACAAATTTTAAAGTACTCCGCAAGTTCAACCCTGTTTTTTCTTGTCGATGTAGCTTAAGCAGAGGCTCAGATAACGTTGTCTCAGATGCGGGATGGACTTTTATAAATTCCCATACCACGGCAGGCCAGATAGACTGGGCTCTAAGAAAATCAGACGTCACAAAAAGCAGTTGACATTGTCGTTCTGCAAGCGCGAGGTTTAGCTGTAACAAGACAGCTCTGCATTTAGAGACAGCAACGGCTACAACACGTCCTTAAACCTAGCTTCTATCTTGGTGTAGTTCCGGTCGACTTGCTGGGGGGCGAAGAGGCGACACACTCGAGACTCTACTTTAATAAAAAACCGCCCAGTGCGCTCCATCAAAGTTTAAGACCCCAACGATTTCACTCTTTTACGCCCCACCCAGTGCGCTCCATCAAAGCTCAAGACCCCAACGATTTTTCTCTTTTTAGTTTTGGCTCCTCCATATCGCTCTAGAAACAATGTCTGCTCTCGATTGACAGATACGTACTTGTTCCCGGTCACTACTCACTTCTCCTCGTTAGTGAATGTCAAAAAAGAACGACGCTTGTCAGCGGGTAATCAGTGACTCAAGTCGTCTAGCATTAGCTGATCCCCTTCGTTGAAAAACTCGAGACTGGCGTTGCTTTTCCCTTTACGGACTGGTTAGACCAACGCGAAAGGGTCCTCAGCCATTTGTACTGTTAGCTCAGCTACTAGAGTGCAGAATTGAGCAAGCTACGAGTCAGTATCGACTTGGGTGTTTTGGTCCGGGCACTGGTCTTGGC